TATTTACTGATGGGTTTTATGTCAGAGAACAAAACAGGAAAATCTCTTGAACTTGTGTTAAACAGACATTATTTCAGACATGTGACCAAAAACCCATTGACTTCGTTAGCTAAAATGCTAACTCAGTTCCTGGTTTCAGTAGAGCAGGTTGTCTTTATTATTATTATACAGTGAAAACAAAAGAGGACCCAATTCGCAACCCTGTGGGACTCCATAAACAATAGTTCAGTTTATATGAGGATGTAACAGATAGCGGAGAGGAACCAGAGGAGCTAACATGCTAACTTGTCTGTTTACACCAACATGTGTTTCCTTATACAGATTGGCCTCATGTCGGTCTCACAGATCACTCCCAGCCTGTTCCTCAGCGGGGCCGACGGACCCCTCAACGCCGCACTGGTGTCACAGAAGGGCATCACCCTCATCGTCAACGCCACGATAAACCATGCCTGCCCCGCTTACCCGGGGGTGGAGTGCGTGCGGGTTCCAGTCTCCGACCTGCCCAGTGCCCGCCTCGGAGACCACTTCGACCGAGTGGCAGAGCGTATCCATGGCAACCGTGCTGGGGGCACACTGGTGCACTGCGCTGCCGGTATGAGCCGCTCACCGGCGTTGGTGATGGCGTACCTGATGCGTTACAGAGGGGTGACGCTCCGCCAGGCGCACCACTGGGTCCAGGAGAGCCGACCCTACGTCAGGCTGAACGCCGGTTTCTGGGACCAGCTGCTGCAGTACGAGAGGAGGCTGTATGGCAAGAACACCGTCAGAGTGGCAGCCGTCGAAGAGGCTCCACCGCTGACGCCGAGACTGACGAGGTCGGTGCTGCCGCCGCCGCAGACGAGCTGGTTAACACTGGTACACAGGTCACCGCTGATGACACGGGCATCACTGACATTACGATCACAGGTGATGACGCCAGCAACCAAAACCAGCAGCGTCAAAGTCTGAGCAACCGTGGATTAACAAACACATCTGAACGTTCTCCCTCGTAACCCTGCGCCTACATTACCCACAATGCAACTCAACCACTCAGAGACACCACCCTGACCTCCACAGCCTCATGCTACGTTCAGTTTGCGGTTGGTGAGATTCTTTCAGATGGAACTCACCTTTACCTTAAACCTCAGTGAACGACTCCAGCAGTTCATGTACATCTAGTCTCTGTTGACCTGCAGTTTGACCTGACATGACTTCATTTTTTTGTTAAGTTTATTATTATTAACTTTAATAAAGTTTCTGTCTGTCAGCAACCACCAGACAGTCCAAAATGGACGAAGCTATTGCAGCTTATTAGCTCAGAGTATAAACTGCTCTACGACTGGTTTGCAATCAGCAACAGTGTGCTGATTGCTTCCACTACGTACTACGTTCCCAGTCGGTGGGTATGTTAGCCATTAGCTTGCCAGGTAGAGTAGTTTACCAACTCGCCGTGGAAGAGTTCTCTGGCACCGACTCTTTTGAGATGAATTTTCTGATCACTTTCTGGTGTGAGCTGCCTGAAGAAGTTTTCATTAATCACAGAAAAATGTACTTTTGTTACTTCAGTTTCTGGATCCGCAATCTCCAGATCATCTCCTGAAAACAGAGTTTAAATATTTGGGACCTTATTGATTAAAACATCAGAAACTCAGTTTATCAAGTGTTTTGGATTTCTTTGCTCATAAGAGGAGTTCCTGAAGGAGTCAAAACCAGGTTCTGGTTTCATAAGGACTCTGATTCGGGCTTCAATCTTTTAGGGAAACAAACTTTCAGACTTCAGAGTTGATCTGTGTAGTTCTTCATTCGGACTGAGTTTCTGTGATCTGATAGTGAGTCTGAATGTTTCTACCACATATAAAGACTGACAACACAACGTTAGCTTGTGCAGCTAATGTTAGCTGACTCAGTCCCGGGGTGCAAGGAGCCAAACCCGGCAAGAGCTAACAGCCCCTTTAATTATTTTATTTTATTTCACCCCATTTTATCTGCATTATTGTTAGTGTTGTTTGTTATTTTATTTCATTATTTTTCCCTCCCGTGTCCTCTAATGAATGTATGTGTGACTGTGAGGCAGGGGGGCAGGGACCAGGACCTGGTGGGGCCGAGGGTGGGTTGTATGACTGTTTACACTGCTGGCTGTTTCTAAAAACTATTTCTGTGCAAAAACTAATAAACTGATTTGGGAAAAAAATTGTAAAAAGAAAAAAAAGTGAATGTTTTAATTGAATGAACGTACACAGACGAGAATAAAAGGACTGGACTGAGTTTGTGAACCACTTTGTGAAAGTTTCAACTTGTATATGTTGGTTTTA